ACACGGTGACAGTAGTCAGCCCTGTCGTACTCCTTTCTCAGTCTTGAACCAATCAATTGTTCCATACAAGGTTCTAACTGTTGCTTCTTGACCCGCATACAGGTTTCTCAGGAGAAAGGTAAGATGGTCTGATATTCGGAGGTAAGAGCTTTGCACTGTGTGTCATGATCAGTACAGTCAAAGGGTTTAGCGTAGTTAATGAAATAGATAGATTTTTTTTCCGGGGATTAGGATGTATACATATATTTTGGGTTCACCCTTCAGTCTACTATAGAAGTCAAAATATCAGAAAGTTTGTTATAAAATATATTTTGGTATTGGTAACGGCATACTTCAAAATATACAAAGCCTCCAGCCAACGAGTGTGAATGAATTGGAAACACCCATTAAGGCAGATAGAAAGTTGTGATAGACATCTTGTCCAGGTGTGACTGTGGTGCTTGTTGAAGGTTAATCATGACAGTGCATACACATCTCGAATGTATATTGATGGGTATCTGTTGAACAGTCTCTTCAGAAGACTTGGTACTCTATAAATGCTGCTGCTTTATTTAACAAGACTTTCTCCCCATTATAACTAGGCTGTCTTTTAAATTAGTTGAAATCTGTGGGCTGTGAATATAAAAGTATGATGCAACTTCGTTTTAATGCAGGAGGTACAAACTTGGGTGTAAATGCTATGCTTAAAAGATAAGATGTGATTAACTTTTGTTGTTGTTTAGTCACCAAGAGGTGTCCAACTCTTTTGTGACCCCATGGATTGTACCCCACCAGGTTCCTCTGTCCATGCAATTTCCCAGGCAAGAATGCTGGAATGGGCTGCCATTTCCTTCTCCAGGGGATCTTCATGACCCCAGGATTGAGCCCACGTCTCCTGCATTGGCAGGTGGATGCTTTACCGCTGAGCCACCAGAGAAACCTTTTATCTTAGTCTGTCTAAAAAAGAATGGTGGCAGAGAGGGTAACTTTATTCTAGGAACTTAGCCCCTGTGAAAGCCAGGACTTTTTGGCCATATTTTTAGAGCAGACTTAGATGTGCCTTATTTGAACTCCCACTGCCTAAGCTGAGTCAGTTAAGGTGTCCCATGAGCAGCTGGACAAGATCTGGTTTTCTTGGGAGTCCCAAGGCTGCAGGAGCAATTCTGCTTTGCTGTCTGTGTGCACAGTGTCTTTCCAAACTGTTGGGAAAAGCTGTAGCTTTTTACAATTCTTTTAAGGATTTTAGGAATTCCTAGAATATTCTCGGAATATTATCTTTCTTTTGTACTGGGTCTAGTATGTAGCAATAAGCTTACTTTCTTGTTTTATTGATACCTATGAGTTTGTGTCCTCTGTAAGGCCCCTTTCTTTAGAGCTTTTGGAACTCAAAAATGAATATTTAATTAGGCCAACACATCATGATATTACATGAGCTTTAGTTAAGAATGTTTATAGGAACCTGTAATAAAGGATTTGCTTTCAGGAAATACTCATAACCCTTCTCCAAATTTTAGTGGGCACAAGAAATCTGGTATAATACTGGAATATAAGCTTTATGAGTTAGAGACCATTATTTCTTGTCTGCTATTGTGTCTCTAGCACCTAGGATAATTTCTCAGAAAGCCCATTCATACTATAGATGGAAAATGATAAAATAAAAACTACATTCAGGAGTCTTCATTGAAAGTTTGTGATAAACTGTTAGCTTAGCATGACAGTACAGTTGTTGGTTAACTGAATCAATTCAAAATTAGTAATAAAATTTTCTGAGAAATACTTAATGTTTATCTAATAAAGAAGGGAAATTTTCACTTCAGTTTTTCTTCTGAATAAATGACTATCACACTCACTGAGTAATATGTGTCAGGGATGCATAATAGACTTATTTTTAAGAAATTTTTGTTAATCAAAAGCCCTGCTATAAGCCACATAAATATTTTTAATTCATTAAGATTTGTTTAACAAGAAGATAAAATTTTTGTGGTGATGTTTTAGGTCTTTCATCTACACGTGTAAATTCTTAGTGGTTGATAGGAAATTATTCTTAGAATTGAAAACTTGACCTATTTCTTTCAATTATACATTTTTAAAAGAAATGTATTTAGAACTCTTAAAAGATAAGGAGAAATGTGTAAGAAAAAATGATGTTATCCTGATTTTTTTCTTCTTTAAATTTACAAAATGGGTTTGTTTCATTTTATCTTTGGTATAGTTATTAAACTATTATTATTTTAACTTATCAAAGTTATAACATTTTGTACCAGTACAAGTTATTGTTTTAAAATAACATTTGAAATATAAATATAACATCACTGATTAGAGAACATCTAATGATTTTAATTTTTATATAGGAATACTTAAATATGAATAGAAAAATAAAACAATAAGTACAAGTAAGAAAGGATCTGTTTGATTTTTTTATTGAGAACTGTGAGTTTGTCATTCTGATTTTATAAATTTGGCCTGTGTTTATTCACATTAGGGCCATATTTTTAAGTAAGTTAAAGTTATGAGTGGTGTCAGGTTTTCCTTTTTCTTTCCCTTAAGTTTTTCTTGTATGCTTACACACTTGTGGGGGAAGATGTTCATATATACACTTAATCATTTAGTAAGTTATTTTTGAGCATCATCAAGTGGCAGGCACTAGATTGGACACTTGGAGTGTATCACTTTAAGAAAAATGAACTGACAGTATTTATTTCCATTGGTTAAAACTGAGTTTTAAAGCAAAGAGTAGGATTTTGGAGAACATATCTGCTGTCATGAGCTGCAGAGCTTCCCACTGCTTACTTTCCTGATAAGATTTGTAGTGGTACTGAATGTGATTGTGTAGTGAATTGTGTCAGTATTTGGAAGATCAGTAGAACTTGGTGGACCAGTGTTTCCTAAATGAACGGTGTGTGCTGTTAGAAAATCATGCAGCGTGTAAAAGATTGATTCAGTCTGAAATACAGACCCAGGGATTTCACATAGCAAAGTACAGAAGTTCATTGATAGTGGTTTCATATTCCACATTGCAGGCAACCTTTTAGAAAATGACTGTTTGTCAAATGCTGGTGTAGTATCAAAGAAAGACATCCATAACTATCTGAATATTCATCCCTTTTCCAACTACATATCCTGTTTGGGCTAGATTTTTTTTTAATATTTCAATCAAAAATATATTGCTGTAACAGTTTAGATGTAGGAACAGATATGAAACTGACTGTCTTCTTTAAAGCCAAACATTAAAGAGATTTGCAAAGATGTAAAGCAGTTCAGCTCTTCACCTTGATTTTTTTGTTTTAGGAAATAAAACTGTTGTCATAACAATATTAATGTTGCATGCAATGAGTTTATTTTTTTACTGTTAAAGGAAGTAATAAAAATTTAAATTTTCTCCTTTTCAGTTTCTAATACAGTAAATATTATAGTTGTAATCTACATACACAAAAATTCATTGGCTGTATTTAAGTATTAAAAATATTTAAGGGTGTAAAGAGGTCTGAGGTGAGAATTGTCGACCCAGAGGAATGATTCCACATCTGGAATACATGTCAGGGATGAGATTATGGAAGAACTCATGTTTTATACTAAGAGACTGATACTAAACAGTAAGGAGTCAGAATATTTTTGAGCATAAAAGTGATATCATCAAAGCAGTACATAAGGACATTAGAACTATCTGGAGGTGATAGATATATTATGATGGAAGAGGGCGAGTAGAATGGGAGAAAAGTCACAGTACATTAGCAGAAGAGCAGATGTAAAGTGGTAGGGCATCTTAGTGAAGTGAAGTCGCTCAGTCGTGTCCGACTCTTTGCAAATCCTTGTACTGTAGCCTACCATGCTCCTCTGTCCATGGGATTTTCCGGGCAAGAGTACTGGAGTGGGTTGCCATTTCCTTCTCCAGAGGTTCTTCCCAACCCAGGGATCAAACCCGGGTCTCCCGCATTGTAGGCAGACACTTTACCATTTGAGCCACCAGGGAAGATATCTTAGGTTGGCTAAATAAGAGAGACTTGTGAAGTCAGTACTGACTTAGCTACTGATGAGAGGGAACAGTCAAATATTAGGTTTGAGCTTCGATAACTGATGTCAGGAGAAACTGATTTGAAGGGGAAGCTGAACTGCTTTCAGAGTTTTGTAGTACTGTGATTAAGCACTTGAGATTGAAAAGCCAGATAGAAATATTCAATAGAGAAGTGAAAATTGAGATCAGGGAGCCTTCCGGCTCTTGTGCCTCTGTTGCTTAAAATTTTTAAAAAGTGTGAAGTAAGCAAATGGTGATCTTGATGCTAAAAATTTATATTTTGGTAGCTAGTTGATAGCTTGTATCAAAATCTGACAGAATATACATTTATTGACTATTGTGTGTGTGCTTGGCACTAACTACATGTTCTTAGTTCTTACATTTATGTGTATGAATGTGTGTGTGGTTTTTAAGCTCTATTAACCCATGTTCTTTCATTTCCTTGACTTGTTTACAGCATTTGTGCAGTTATTTTCCTTTTAATAATAGAATGTTGTTTAAACAAGTTATGCTCAAGATTTAACAATGAAAATAGACTTTTTCCCTTTCTTTTTTAAAAAATGACACGATTAGTTGTGGTACATGGAAGAGAAACATCTATTTCATGTCCCTCTTATGATAAGTGTTTTTCATCGAAATTCCTTGATACTGTGTGTATGATTTATTTACCAAGGCTTTTTAAGATGACTGAAAATATGCTCTAACAACCATCTGATATGAAAAACTGAACAAAATGTGTGCTCAGTTGAATGAATCTCTGAAGAAATAATGGTGCAAATGAATTATCAAAGTGTGAAATCATTAGAAACAAAACATGTTTGGGTTTTTATTGAAACTTAATTGCAGGCTTATGTATTTCCTTTTGTAAGCTAAGTTAAAAGAAAATTGCCTATCTAAATTTTTGGAGGCCAGTGTTGTAGGACATATATTGTACCATAATTTATTTTTTCACATAAAAGCTGCTGTTCATTTTTCCCCCAGCATTAACATGCATGCTTTCCTCATGTAGGAGAATATATAAAAAACTGGAGGCCAAGATATTTCCTTTTGAAGACAGATGGCTCATTCATAGGATATAAAGAGAAACCCCAAGATGTGGATTTACCTTATCCCCTCAACAACTTTTCAGTAGCAAGTAAGTTAATTACAATTGTTGATTCACCTTGTATTTATTTATTTGTATGTCTGTATGTGTCAGATACTTTGAGATATGTGGAAAGCCTATGAAAAAGTTTAGGTTTGTTCTTAATTGCAGATAAGTTTTCAGTTTATATAGAATTTCACTTCCTTAGCATTGGAACTGAAAAGTTCCATGGATTATTACAACCTGTGGTCTTATATAATCCAAAATAGTGTAATTTTTTCATAGTTAGAACTTTGTTATAAAAACCATTCCCCAGGTACATACCTCAAGTTTTTCTTTAAAGTGTACTTTGAACTTGACTGCTGGATTGAACTTGGTTGTAAGATGTTGCAGTCCTTAGTGCACCTCTAATAGAAGTTTCCTGTCATAATCTTAACCCTTTTGATTGATTGTATGATAAGCAACAAGTGATTTACTTTAAACATTATTTTCTGAGAAGATTTTGTTTGTGGTAAATTTTTCTTCCTTACAAATATCTAACATTATTTCTTCCTTACAAGTTTCTAAACAAGTTTGTAATTTAAACTTATTTAGGAATTATATATTTTCTTGAAAATAGCCAAAGATAAACTGAAAGATGATGATGATGATAATGGGGATTATAATTGTTATAACCAGGCTTTCAGATTGTTCAAATTGCTGATTAATCAATGAAAGGGGTTTTCTGTGTTAATTCAGGAATAAAGCATTTTAAAGCATAATGTTAAGTTAAAATAAACTTGCATTAGAGATATTTGTACCATTGTGGTAAAATCTTTAACTAGACACACCATTCTTAATTTTGATTTTGATTGTATGCAGTTATCTATTAGTCACGATTTGGAAAGATATGAGGGAAAATTGAAGCAAAAATCAGTTAAAAAATATAGCAGCATCAGAAAATCCAAAATGATAAAAATCCTCGAATGTTATACACATGATTTTATCATTGTATAGCACCCCAGTCTCTCTATACCTTCTTTCAGTTTTTTTAAACAACAAGGTAGGACAATAAACCAAAAAGTTTGTGAAATCATTTTAACTATAAAAAAACCTCTTGTTTATGTAAGTGGATTTTTCCATAGGGAATTTCATTTTTTAAAAAGTGAAGATACCGTTATATTTGTGTATTAAAATAATTTTTTCTCCGCCAAAATGGCTCATTAGATCCTTATGGCTTTCTCTCAGTAGAAAATTATTTTAAAAATCCTGTTGTCAATTGCAATAATATCTTATATTTTGTGTTGACTTATGAATACATTTTCTTTCTAAAGACATTTTGGGCAAGCATTTGCTTTAAAGTGATAGAAATTGTCTTTTAAAACATTAGCAGTGTACATTTTTGTATCTGACCTAAAGCCAGTGTGGTTTCATAGTTTGTCTATTTTACTAGCAAATGCTATTATTGGTTTGTCTGAAATAATTTATAAAGTACAGAACTCCTATATCTGTTGATCAAAATGCAGCATTTTTTGACCTTATGAAATTTCACACCCCAACAAGTTTTAAAGACATACTGTATGTCACAGTCTGCCAACATCTGCTCCAACACTTCCACTGGCAGAGGCTGAAATAAATGCTGCACTCTTGAGGAGAGAACCTATTTTGTGACTGACAGTCAGCTTATCCATGAAATCAATATTAGTTGGCATCTGTAATCTTTACTTGAATAATCAAGTAGTTGTGGATAGTTAAATTAATAAGTGAAGTTATAGACCAGCTCCTTAATTTTGGGAAACGTGTTAATAACATGGATCTTACAACAAACTGTTTAAAACTGATTGTTTTTAACGCCTGACTTATTGTAGTCATAAGTTTGCAATAATTTGTTTTTGTCAAAGTTGCGTCTGACTCTTTGCGACCCCATGGACTATACAGTCCCTGGAATTCTCCAGGCCAGAATACTGGAGTGGGGAGCCTTTCCCTTTTCCGGGGGATCTTCCCAATCCAGGATTGAACCCAGGTCTCCTGCACTGCAGGCAGATTCTTTACCATTTGAGCCACAAGGGAAGACCGTGAATACTGGAGTGAGTAGCCTATCTCTTCTCCTGCAGATCTTCGCGACCCAGGAATCTAACCGGGGTCTCCTGCATTGCAGGCGGATTCTTTACCAACTGAGCTATCAGGGAAGCCCCCTTGCAATAATTGCCTGAGATAACAGTGTGTAGTGAAAAGGGCCCTAGTTGAAGAAATAGTTCAAATTTAAGTTCTGCCAAAAACCATGAGTATGACCTTGGGCAGATCGTTCTCACGCTCTCTGGTTTTTAGTCCCTTTATCAGCATGGTGAGGACACCTGAATGAGTTTGTAAGGTCCCTCTTGTCTCTAGCTTTCTGTGATTCTGTGAGGGAAGTTTGAGCAGGCCATTGAAGAGTGAGTGGGAATGAAATTATTATAAAATAGAGGACAAGAATATTTTAGGCAGAGAGTAACAAGGAATGTTTTCGTGAGGTTTTAAGAGAAGGAACAGGAAGAGCCAGAGAGGGTTACTCTACCAATAATCTCCCACTGGTTCTAGCTGTCTTCAACATATGACGAAGAGGAACTAGGAATACAAGGTGCAGCGTACTCAGGTATGTTGGGGGATGTTATATATACACATGTATTCCATCCATAGCTACCATGTGTCACCTGTTTTTCCTGATGATTAAAATATGGTACTTCAAGATTAATCTTTGTGAGTTTTAATGAAACTTTACCAAAACAGGCTTTTTATTTGTATGAAAATAATAAAGTAAGAGAACTAGATGGGACTTAGTATTGATCTTTCCACTCTTCATTGAAGTTTCAGATTCCTTTTCTTCTAGTTTAAAATTTCCCCAAAGATAAGTCTTTATACTAGTTGTTTCTACTTTTCAGTCCACCGCAGTCTTAACTTTTTTATTTGCTTGATGAAACCACTTTTAGTAAGTTCTCCAGTGACCCCTTAATTGCTCAGACTAGGAGACAGTCTTTTTTAGTTATTTTCCTGGATTTACATCTGGGGGGCATTCTGTAGTTTTGATTACTACTTCTTTCTTGGGATGATCTCTGTCATTGTTTTCTAAGATGCTTTTCTTTCCTGGTTTTCTTGGTTGACTTATTGCATGCATTTGGATATCTAACTGAGTTCTGGCCAAGGACTATTCTCACTTTGTACTCTCTTCCTGGATGGTCACATTCACATTAAGGTTTCAGTTACTCCTAGTATACAGCTTGCTCTCACATTAACACATCTTCAGGGCAGACCTCTTTTCAGAGCATTAGGTTGCTATCTTTACTATATTCAACTGACTATTGGACATCTCTACCTAGATATTTTTGGAGGCAACATATCTTAAGCTGAACTGAAGACAATTTGATTAACTTTTCCCCCTGTATTCACTACCTCAGTTCTATCTTGAGCAGAAATCTGGATTTATTTCATGCCTTTTTTCCTCTTGTATCTTCACCTTACTCCCAATTTATTTCTAGTCTTTCCTGTCTTGCTTCTTATTTCTTGAAATTGTTTCCTTCTTTCTAATCTCTAGAATAGGCCCTCATCATCTCTGCTGTATATTTTTAACTATAGATCTCTGCCTGTAGTTTCTACCTCTCATATTCTTTTTTCCCATGAGTGTCAAAGTGATCTTTCTAAAATTAAGTCCTAACTATGCTGCTAACCTGTGAAAACCCAGCCCTAGATCTTCATTTTATCCTGCTGGATAAAGTCTAGGTTCCTTAATATATCAGGCAACCATCTCAGGCTGGCCTCTGCTTTCAGCTCTTTCCTCATCTCTCTTCTGCTGTCCATTTACACTTTGGCAGTACTGAACTGTTTGTAATTTCCTGTATAAACTATGTAGCATTTCTATTCTGAGCCTTTATGCTGTTCCCTCTGTCTTCTATTTGCTGGAATAATTTTTTTTTTCGTCTTTTAAGACTATTCAGATTTAAATCCCCAGCCTCATTCCTTGCTGAATCCTTCGTCTCTGTTCTTCACAGAGCTGTTATCTTTTGTTGTTAATCACGTTTCTTGGTTGTCTTGTTCATGTGTATGTCTCATCCAGTAAACTGTGAGTCATTTTAGGGGAAAGAGCTTAGTATTGTAAGATCTTTATATTTCACATGTCTTAGTACCTACATACTAGGCACTAATAGCGGGTTTTGAATGCATTTCTGAAAGCATCTAGTCCAGGTTTTTCCCTTTGTAGATGAGAAAAATGAAGCCTTTGAAAATTCAGTGATTTTTTAAAAAATTAATTAATTTATTTTAATTGGAGGCTAATTACTTTACAATATTGTAGTGGTTTTTGCCAAACATCTACATGAATCAGCCACGGGTGTACATGTGTTCCCCATCCAGAACCCCCCTCCCACCTCCCTCCCCATCCCATCCCCCAGGGTCATCCCAGTGCACCAGCCCTGAGCACCCTGTCTCATGCATCGAACCCGGACTGACGATCCACTTCACATATGATAATATACATGTTTCAACACTACCCTCTCAAATCATCCCACCCTCACCTTCTCCCACAGAGTCCAAAAGACTGTTCTTTACATCTGTGTCTCTTGCTGTCTCGCATATAGGGTCATTGTTACCATCTTTCTAAATTCCATATTTTTGCGTTAGTATACGGTATTGGTGTTTTTCTTTCTGACTTACTTCACTCTGTATAATAGGCTCCAATTTCATCCACCTCATTAGAACGGATTCAAATGTTTTCTTTTTAATGACTGAGAAATATTCCATTCTGTATATGTACCACAGCTTTCTTATCCATTCGTCTGCCGATGGACATCTAGGTTGCTTCCATGTCTTGGCTATTATAAACAGTGCTGTGATGAACATTGGGGTACATGTGTCTCTCTCACTGGTTTCCTCAGTTTGTATGCCCAGCAGTGGGATTGCTGGGTCGTATGGCAGTTCTATTACCATTTTTTAAAGGAATCTCCACACTGTTCTCCATTGTGGCTATACTAGTTTGCATTCTCACCATCAGTGTAAGAGGGTTCGTTTTTCTCCTCACCCTCTCCAGCATTTATTGTTTGTAG